ATGATGTTTATGGAATTGCATGTTTTAATTCTATGTATAAATAGGCTGATAATCAGTAAACTCTTATAAGACCTGAACACAAAGTGGCCACAGAACTAAGTTGTTGGTGGTAATTCCTTATCAATGCTGGGAAGACCAAGGAGATGGTGGTGGATTTCCGCAGACGTCAGTCTACTTCTCCCTCACCAGTGAACATCCAAGGAATAAACATTGAAAGAGTGGACGGTTATAAGTACCTGGGTGTTCACTTAAATAACAAACTGGACTGGTCTAACAACACAGATGCACTATACAGGAAGGGCCAGAGTCGGCTCTACCTCTTAAGGAGACTGAGATCTTTTGGAGTGAGGGGGACACTCCTGAGGACTTTTTATGAGACTGTGGTGGCATCAGCCATCCTGCATGGTGTGGTCTGTTGGAGCAGCAGCATTACATAGAGGGAGAGGAAGAAGCTGGATAAGGTTATTAAGAAGTCCAGCTCTGTTCTGGGCTGTCCTCTGGACTCGGTGAGGGTGGTGGGGGGCAGAAGGGTCCTGGCTAAATTTACATCAATGAAGGACCATGAGTCCCACCCTATGCAGGTCACACTATCTGCTCTGGAGAGCAGTTTTAGTGACAGACTGATCCATCCTCGCTGTGTGAAGGAGAGATTTCGCAGGTCTTTCCTCCCTGCTGCTGTCAGACTTTATAACAAGGTCTAATGTGGTTGGTAATAAGGTCGTACATTGTTATTATATTGCTGGAACAATTACTTTATGTATGTTCAGCAGTTATACATCATCTGCATGACCGGTAATCACTTGGAGTACTCCGATAATATTATTTATTTTTTAACTGATTATCATTATTTGATTATCATTTATCTGTATATACTATACTCACATGTCATGCATAGTTCCTGGAGTGTTATAATTTTATGGTTTGTATTTAATATCTTTTAATTTTTTACCTTGTTTCTTATAATATTTTTATATTTTCTGTACTTTGCTGAATCATAGTGTGCTGTTGCAACATGGAAATTTCCCCCCTGTGGGACTAATAAAGGTTTTCTAATCTAATCTAATCTAATTTAAATCAAAACAGGTGCCTAGCAACGGTTGCTAAGATGCTTGTGTAAGCACCATCTCTCCTTTGATGAGCGGGCTGAAACTAATGACGTCATTACCGGTCACGTTAAGAGTGTCTGACTGAGTTTAGTTTAGTTAGTAACTGAAACACAGAAAACAAGGGAGCAAGTTAAGTCAGCTCCTGTTACTTATTCATTTTACCAACGTTCACAGAAGTTACCGTTTTAAACACGAGCTAAAATGAACAGACGTACACGGAAACTACCAAATCCACCATTAAATCCAGTGACCCGGTCCACTTCCCAAACCGTGCCTGTGGAAAGGCACTTGGAAGATGACTCACAAACACTGCAAATCCCTCTACGGTTCGTCAGGGTGGAGCCAGATTCGGAAGAGGATGAAACACAGACCGCAGCTTCCACGATCAGATCATCATCTAGCTCCTCTGGAAGCCAGGAAACGTTAAAAGAGGTGTCCCTTTCGGGGTTTTGTATAGCCGAATTCGGGATCGAGAACCTAGATGACAAGGCTGAAGTGACTCCTCCAAAGCCAGTGGTCGATTTGAATTGTAGAGACCAAGCGGAAGATACAGGCCTTCAGGGCGACAGTGGATTTCGCCCTGTAGCAGAAGGTCTGTACCTTCAGCGCCACCTCGAAATTCACATAATCTCAAATAACATCGCTGAGGTGACGCTTAAAATAGAGAGTATGGAAGAGACAGGTGCTCCTGTGGAGAAATACAGCTTCATGT